ATATGATATCCCCCCATGGCGAGGTCCTAAGAGAAAACAATATGATGGAAATGTGTATCGGAAGGGAAAAGTCTCGGATTCGAGGCGTGTTGGCGGAAACAGGCCCGTCAACCGCGGCCAATAGAAGTTAGTTGGTCTCGTCAATAATAACAGCAAGCCTCACAACGATAGCTTAGTATGCTAAACAAGATGGCAGTATCATGGCCCCATCTGTGAAATGAGCTATATGTAATCTAATTGGGTCTTTTGGTCTAATATATGTACACGCCGACTGAGGAGGACCAGCACCTTTGTCGCCACATTCAATCACATCCGGATTCTACGCCATATCCTTCTGCTCGGGGACGATGCTCTTTAGGGCGCCTCGTTCGAGTGCCAGCTTGACATTGCTAATAGTCCACTCCTCCATCTTGGTTTGCGTCTCGACTGTCCACGTCCCCATGTGCGGAACAAGGAGCACGTTTGGATTGCCAATCAGACCAGGGTGAATCCTGGGCTCTTCCTCGTACACGTCTAGACCCGCGCTGGCGACTTTGCCGGAATCCAAGGCCTTGACAAGTGCGTCCTCGTCCATGACTGCCCCGCGGGCCGTGTTCACAATGACAATGCCAGGCTTCATGAGGGCGAATTGGTCGGTGGAGATGGTATGCCGAGTGTGAGGCTACAAAAAGTCTGTTTCAGTGCCCAAACGCGACCCAAGAGCGAATTAAAAAAAAAGAGTAGTCAAGCGGTTCGGAGAGAGAGACTCACGTTCAGAGGAAGATTGAGGCTCAAGACGTCGCTCTCGGCCAACAGCCTCTCAAAGGGGACGTACTCTGCGCCGTCTTCCAGGTCCGCCGGCAGCCTGTTGCGGTTGTGGTAGCGAATCTTCATGCCGAACGCGCGCGCCTTGGCCGCCACGTTCCGCCCGATGCCGCCCATGCCCAGGATGCCCAGGACCTTGCCCTGCGGGTCGTGGCCCAGCTTGGGGGGCGTCTTGCCGCGCCAGTCGCCGGCGCGGAGGGCCGACATGCCGACGGGGAAGTTGCGCAGCGCGCCGATGAGCAGCCAGATTGTCACGTCGGCGGTGGCGTCGTCGACGGCCGTGGGCGTGTTGGACACGCGGATCGAGTGCGCTGTACATGCTGGGATGTCGACTTGGTCGTAGCCGGCGCCTGGGGACGTTAGGAAGGGGGTGCTTGTTGTTGAGTCGGTTGGGTTCTGAAGGGGGGGATAATACCGTTGTGGCACATGAACTTGAGGGTTTTGGGGAGCGCGTCGCATAGTTCGTCGTCAATCTTGCCTGTTATGTTGAAGGAGTCAAAGGTTCGGAAGGCGACGCTGACGCCGTCGAAGGCGCCGGATCTGCATTCGGCGATGAAGGCTGTCCGGTTGGTGGCTTTGGGGGTGAGGACGGTGGCGATGGATGCGATTTGGGACCATGCGGCGTGTGCGCTGGGGAAAAGGGGGTGGTGATTAGCTTGACTTTCTTTCGATTGGAGATGTAGAAAGGAATTTTGTCGGAGTGGATTGGAGGGGAGGCGTGCTTACTGTTCGATTTCTCCGAGGAGGAGGACCTTGGGTTTGTCTGTCATGGTGAGGTGTTGGGGAGGAGTTGATGGTGTTGCTGGGTCAATTGCTTTGGAGGATGTTTGCTTTACTTGAATACGGTGATGTTTGATCAGTGTGGGCTTCCGGATCGGGGAGAAGTATCGGGTTGAAAGGCGGGAGATAAGATACGAATATATTTCATGAGGTTGAAGCATTGATTCTTCTGCCGTTGTTTGACAGAGCCCCGCGCCCTCTCCGTCATCGGCGGGGTAGCTCGTCCCTGGCATGCAGTCTGGTTCAATTGGCGGGGGTCGGCGAAGGAAGGCCAGGAACATTGCCCAAAAGGGTGCGTGGCGGCGACATTGACTTTATAGGGTGGCCGTCGGGATCAGTGCGATGAGTAGTGACACTTACCTATCGATTGTTCTGGCAAGGGCTTTTCAAAGGCTCGAGGACGTTACAGGCAGCGGCCGTGGCAGGTACTATGAACTGATTGACGCGTAGGATATCTGGCATTCCAGTGGCCGAGTTCCCAGGTGCCGAGCCAAGGTGCACGGAAGACATCTCAACGCAGCCGACTGCTAGACTGCAGTTCCTGTTCGATTCGCCTTACTTTCACTACCGTTATTGAATAACATATGAAAAGCCAGCGGGCGTGCAGGTCAGCCGTGTACATCAGCCAAAGGCGCAGCACTCAACTCGCGTCGCTGTCTATATCTTTTTCAAACCCCATCGCCGAAGCCAACTCGGCCAACTCTCTCAGCATCTCAAAGGCAATCTTTTGCATAAAACCGTTCGCAATCCCGTCACCGTTGCCGCCTACATGAGCAATCTCCAGGCACCCAGCATCAGCGCCGCGAAACCGGTACAAACACCCATCAGCCACTGCAGCGTCTGAAACTTGACCTGCTCCAGCTTCTCCCTCAAGGCCGCCACCTCCTGCTCAATCTTGGTCTCCGTCTCCTTGATCTTGAGCTCCTGGCCCACGGCTTCCTCGCGGATGCGGCCCTTCTCCAAGTTCAAGTCTAGCCGAACGCTGGCCTGCGTCCGCGAAATTTCGTCGCGCAGCCGGCTGCTCAGCTTGGCAATGTCGTTGGTGAGACGCTCGTGGGAGCTGCGCGTAGTGTTGGTCTCGGTGCTGTCCGCAGAGAGGAGCTCGGAGCGGAGCTTGGCAAAGTCGACTTTCTGAGTGTACGTTGCCTTGGCGGCGTCTTCGCGGAGGACCATTGTGCGGGTCAAGTTTTGGATGCTGCCGGCGCTGGTATCAGGATTTGCGGCATCTACGGGCACGGCGTGTGTCCACGGCTCACCTTTCTTCAATGACATCGTTCAGCATTTTCATCATGGCGACGGATTGCTCTTCTGTGAAGCCCTCTCCTTGTAACTGCTTCACGAATTTGAGGGTGTCGAAATGGTGGTCCCGCTGTCGCTGGGCGGTCGCGTGGAAAAGACGAGAGAGGACTGGGCTGTGCTTGGCCGGCAATCGACGCCGAGGTGACGATTCGCCGTCGAAGCTTGTCAGGGAGCTCTGCCATGGCGGAGTGGTGCTGGCTGCTCGCAGCGCGGCAAAGGGCCGAGTTGCGCGTGAGGCAGTGAGTGGTGCGTTCCAGCTCAGCCGGGGCAGTAGAAATCGTGGCAGCATCTCGGTGGCCATGAAGGCTGACGTGGTTATGGTTCGTGGCTCAGAGAGCCTGGATTGTTGCCAAAAGCTGGTCGCTGTAAGGATGAGAGGTTAGTCTGTAGGACGCAATTCAACGGCGTTCGGAACGTATCGGCCTAAGAAGGGTAAGAGGGAGTTTCATGATTGGCTGCGTGTTATGTAAACGCGCACGGAGTGCTTCGTAAACAGGGTCCAATTGCTTTGCACTGGTGCCTAAGACTAAGACTAAGTCAGAGCTCTTACGAATATAGTAAATACAAGTGTATTATATATTGTATTTTGTATTGTATTGTATTTTCGTGTATTGTATTTAAATACATTACATTACATAACTAAAATACCTATAAATGTATTATAAGTAAAAAAAACCCCTATTTTTTTAAACTTAAGATTATAAGGCTAATTATAAGGGTTATAAGGGAAAATTTTATATCATTAAAAAGAGCTAAATTAGCTCTTTAAAATGCTTTACTTTTTTTTACTATAAGTTATTATCTCAAAAAGTTATAAGCAATTGAAAATTCGCCCCGCTTTACTTACTTTTTATTTTAAGACATAACTTTAAAGCTTAATATCTCGCTTAATATCCACATTTTAAGGTTAATTTTTAAAAATTTAAAATCACGTGATTTTTAGCTTTATTTTAATATATAATATGCTTATGTAAGCATTTATTTCTATTATTGGATATTTTATAGCCTTATAATACATTTATAGGTATTCTTATCTTATAATGTATTGTAATATATTACAATACAATACAATACATTACAATACAGTATAGTAAAAAATACAAAAAATACAATACATTTAGAGGTCTGGGTGCCTTGACCCGAAGAAAAGGTGGAGACTGCTGACCCCATACCCTATACTCCAATTTCTACATGGTTTGTCAAAGACGCTCAAGATTCTCTGTTAGGCCGTATATCATTAATAGGCATGCGGTCACGAATTGCCATGAATATTTCTCATATAGTGATTGTTTACATGTGGTTTGTGTAACAATTAGATCTTGAGGTCGTCCACACATGCGTCTTTGTTGAAGTGAAGGCCCTGGACGCAACCCGTTGAGCACCATCACCCAGCGGCAGATTTGTCATGGACTGAATGAACAATGTGGATGAAGCTGGGATGTGAACGCTTAAAAGCGGGCGGCGAATGATTTTCCCAAGCTTCGTTAAAATGCGACTCCGGCCTAGGATTCTCTGTATGAGTTCAATGTTGACAGACTTCTTTGTTGGCTTCCTGGAACTTTCCAACTACTTACCGCGAGCCATTCTGGATGTTATGCTAAGAATATATTGCGTCGTTTAGAAATGGAGATGTCATCCCAATCTAGAGAGTTGTCGATAACTACCGCTCTTTGACGTCAAACAATTCCGAGAAAATACAATCACAGAAACGGCCAAAAACGTAAGTAGTGGTACCGCCTTAATGCAACTTCACGGGTTCAAGATGGCAGGAATGGCCTGCCCAGAGAAATTTGCCGTGCGTAGTCTCGAAGCCTTTAAGCGATTCACTGAAATTCGAACAAGTGAACAGCCCATGACAAAAAGACTGGTCTAATGAAAGGATTGCGCGGCTCTAGGGACATTCATGAAGGAGAGACGTGAAATTAGGAAATTAGGCCAGTGGACCAGTGGTGAGGACAAAGGCGCCCACTTACTTCAATTGGCTAGGAGGCGTTGCCAAGAAGTCTATATAAAGGCAATTCATCCGGTTTCGACAAGGACAAGGTATAATATTAATTTATGCATCTCATCTTGATGAAGCAAGATAGAAGTGTGACTATAGCATCGTCGTGTCGAATATGTGCGAAACCACGCCTCCAGTTCCCAAGGTCCACCTTGAGACTCTGTTGAGAGACAAGACTATAGCCTGCGACGAGTTATTCAGAAAATGCCTAGGTGGCTCGACTGCATGCGAACATTACATTGACTTTCAGCAACTGCAGCTGCAGTGCCAACAGGCCTATTTCAACAAGTGGGCACGAGAGTTCGAAGCTGATGAGACAGGCCCATCGTCTCTGGACTATCGCCTGCAGCGTAAGCCAGCCTTGCGAGATGTCGTGGCGGCTCTCCTTGGCTGTCTGATAGATACCCTCTTACGGCGCCTTGATATATGTAAGTAATATTTCTTTTAAAAGCGGGTGCAAACAGGGAGCTGCTTTTTGGCTGATTGGCGCCATTGAACCAGCTGTCGACGGCGGTGAGACTGACGCAGAGTCTCTCACCATGAAGATCCTCCAGGAGGAGTACTATATCGACGAAAATCTCAAAATCCTCCGTGGCATCATGGTTCCAGTCTTCGAGACTTGATGGGGTGAGAAAGCCGCCTCAAAGGTTCTCTTGTACTGGATGGAATCCATCGTGTACCAGACTGTCTTTCGTCGCCGCTGCAGGTTGATGGGATAATATGCAGACGATGAAGAGGCGGGCATGGAGTACGGCCGAGACGATTAGCCGTCGACGGACATGGAGGACGTGAGGTCTTGATGCGACTCCTATCGGATATTAGGGCCAACATGTAGCAAAGCTGTACGCCAGAAACGCGCCATCGTGCGCAGCTAGGCAGCACTGAGGGGTACATATGTAGATGCCCTTCTTATTAGTATATGTTGGCTGTTGCTAGACAGGCTAAAAAACTTATTATGTATCACGTTAACAGCTATGAAAGCAGATTGAATAGTGGAATTGTCCTTGATTAAAGCTATCTAGGTACGGAAAACAGGCCCTTATTTATAGATATTAAAGTTATCTAACAGGTCACCTAAAAAGTAATTAATTTAAGGGGTTCTACGGTATTCAGCTATTAAAGGTTTAGCTTTAATAGGGTGGTAGCGCGAGCCTTCTTTTAAGGCTTTTCATATAATTAAAAAGCAGCTATTTAAGGCGTTTTAAGGCTTATTAGGGTCCCTAATAAATAGCAGCTATTTTCTATTAAAAGAGGCCTTTAGCGTTAATATACTCTTATAAATTAGGTTAATAGTTAGCTATTAAAGCTATTAATAGCTATTAAGGTAAGTTAAATTAGTTAATTTAAGCTCTTTTAATAATACTAATAATATTAATAAGCTTTAATTACTTAATAAAGCGGTTAAATTATTAGCCTATTAGAATCTTTATTAATCTATTAATTAAATTATTAATACTTTAAACGAATTTAATATTAAAGGTCTCTTATTAATAGGCTTATTAAATCTAGCTATTATAAATATTAATATAATAAAGAGCGGTTTTAAGCCTTAAAAGACTACTATTAATAAGCTAGATTATTTATAAATTATTACATTATATTATAGGCTTTAAATAATTTAATTAAAGGTCTAGCTATTAAAAAAGCCTAAATATTATAATAGTCTCTTTAGCTATATAATTATTAAGCCTTATAATAACTTTTAGGTTTATTAATCGTTTATAAAGGTAGTATTAAAAGCTATTTAAAGCTTTAGGTTATTAGGACTTTTATTAAATTTAATTACTAGGTATTACGTTAAATATAGGTATTTAATAACTTAATTAGCGACCTATTAGTAGATTTTTAACGGGTTAAAGAGAAATTTAACTAGCTTAACTACTAGTTTAGCTATATTAGGTCTTTTAATAACCGTAATATAATTAATAGAGCTAATTATTTACTAATATTAATGAATTTAATTAATAGTTATAATACTTAAATTAGATTTTAATTAATTTCCAGGTATTAGACTTTTTTAAAGCTGTCTTTTTTAGGGATATTGAATTTTATAGCTAGTTTTTTAATATAAAAATTCTAATATAGCTAAAGCTTATAAGTAGCCTTATCTTAAAGGATTTAAATACCTAAAAACTATTATAGCTTACTAAAATCCTTTATATTATAGGTTAATTTAAGCTTTTAAATCATTTAATTAACGGCTTTAAAAGCTACTTAATAGTATAAAAAGATAATATTATTAACGTAAAAAAAGACTATTAATATTAGGCTATTAAAGATTAGTAAAATACCTATAAATATATTTTGAGTAAAAAAAACCCTTATTTTTTAACTTAGAACTATAAGGCTAATTATAAGGGTTATAAGTGAAAATTTTATATTATTAAGAAGAGTTAAATTAGGCCTTTAAAATGCGTTACTTTTCACTATTATAAGTTATTACATTAAAAAGTTATAAGTAATTAAAATTTCGCCTTACTTTACTTACTTTTTATTTTAAGATATAACTATAAAGCTTAATATCTCGCTTAATATTCACATTTTAAGGTTAATTTTTGAAAATTTAATATCACGTGATTTTTAGCTTTATTTTAATTCATAATATGCTTCTATAAGCATTTATTAATAATATTAGATATTTTATAGCCTTATAATACATTTATAGCTATTAGGTTTATTAGAGCTTTAATAAGAGATTTTAATAAGATAAGTTAATTACTTTTTTTAATTATAAGTCTTTTACTATATAAATATGAACTATACTTTAACTTATTAAATTATTAATTTTACGTATAATTATAGTTAATCTTTAAGGCTATAAGTATATTTAATCTATTATTATTATACGTTATAATAGCTAGAGCTCTTACGAATATAGTAAATACAAGTGTATTATATATTGTATTTTATATTGTATTGTATTTTCGTGTATTGTATTTAAATACATTACATTACATAACTAAAATACCTATAAATATACACGTATAGAGTTATAGGTGTGTGTGTATATATCGCGTTTAGGCTAATAAAGTATATTATACCGTTATATTAACTAGGCTTATAATTATTATAAAAAAAAATATACTTTAACTAAATAGTAATTATACCCCCTTACATTCCGTTAATAGTAAATATAGCGTAATTATACGGCGACGATTTATAATATCTTTATAGAGCTAAGACACACATAGAAATTATTAAGGGAACGATGATATATTTACCCTAGGCTAAGCCTCGATTTAGAACAGATATTTTCGGGGCTAGTATTAGTGTAAAGCACTACACGTCGCGTGTAAAGCTAGTTATATGGTTAACTCTATAAGGAGAATTAGAAGTTAGGTAGCTAAAGTAGGGGTAGCGGTGTTATAATTAGAGCTCTTACGAATATAGTAAATACAAGTGTATTGTGTATTGTATTTTATATTGTATTGTATTTTTGTGTATTGTATTTAAATACATTACATTACATAACTAAAATACCTATAAATGTATTATAAGTAAAAAAAACCCCTGTTTTTTTAAACTTAAGATTATAAGGCTAATTATAAGGGTTATAAGGGAAAATTTTGAATCATTTAAAAGAGCTAAATCAGCTCTTTAAAATGCCCCACTTTTTATTACTATAAGCTATTATCTTAAAAAGTTATAAGCAATTGAAAATTCGCCCCGCTTTACTTACTTTTTATTTTAAGACATAACTTTAAAGCTTAATATCTCGCTTAATATCCACATTTTAAGGTTAAATTTTAAAGATCTAAAATCACGTGATTTTTAGCTTTATTTTAATATATAATATGCTTATATAAGCATTTATTTATAATATTAAATATTTTATAGCCTTATAATACATTTATAGGTATTCTAATCTTGTA